GGCTGCGGGCGTTCTGGCGCTGCGGTCCCGCGCTTCCCGAGAGCAGGCCGCGCGCGGACCGGACCGGACCGGACCGGACGGGGCGGGGCGGGACAGCTTCTGCCGCCCGCTGCGGCGCCTGGCTCCGCGGCCGAGCTTCGGTCCTGCAGCCCCGCCTGAGCCATGTTTTTCACCTGTGGCCCCAACGAGGCCATGGTGGTCTCCGGTAAGTCCCTGTGCGTGGCGCGGCCCTGCCCCCGCCCCGCCCCGCCCCGCCCCGCCGCGGCCTGCGCCCAGCTCTGCCCTCCGCCCGCCGCCCGCAGGTTTCTGCCGGAGCCCGCCCGTCATGGTGGCCGGCGGCCGCGTCTTTGTGCTGCCCTGCATCCAGAAGATCCAGAGGTAGGCAGGGGAGGCCCGCGGCCGCGCAGCTGCGCGCCCCCGCGTCTCACTGGGCGCCCCTCCTGTGCCCGCAGGATCTCCCTCAACACCCTGACTCTCAACGTCAAGAGCGAGAAGGTGTACACGCGCCACGGGGTGCCCATCTCGGTCACCGGCATCGCCCAGGTGCGGCTCCCGGCGCCCCCGAGCTGCTGCTCCGCCTTCCCCGCTCCCTGGAGAAGCGGCGGCAGCTGCTCCCGGCGCCCCGCCCCGGCTCCCGAGCCCGCACCCAGTCGCCTGCCCTGTTCTGCTGCAGGTGAAGATTCAGGGGCAGAACAAGGAGATGCTGGCGGCTGCCTGCCAGATGTTCCTGGGGAAGACCGAGGCCGAGATCGCACACATCGCCCTGGAGACGCTGGAGGGCCACCAGAGGGCCATCATGGCGCACATGACGGTGGAGGTGCGCGGCGGGAGGGCCAGGCCAGGCCAGGGAAGGGCCAGGCCAGGGTAGGGCCAGGCGCCTGAGCCTGAGCCTGAGCCTGCCACCCACGCCGTGTCCCAGGAGATCTACAAGGACAGGCAGAAGTTCTCAGAGCAGGTCTTCAAAGTCGCCTCCTCCGACCTGGTCAACATGGGCATCAGCGTGGTGAGCTACACGCTGAAGGACATCCACGACGACCAGGTAAGACGGGGCACCCCCAGCCCTGCCCCCCTGGCCTAATCGCGCAGAACTCTGGCATCTGCCCCTTCCCCGCAGGACTATTTGCACTCTTTGGGGAAAGCTCGGACGGCGCAAGTCCAAAAAGACGCTCGGATTGGAGAAGCTGAGGCCAAGAGGGATGCTGGAATACGGGTGAGAGTCTAGCTTGGTGACCACAGGTGCGCTGGCCACCTGTGCAGAGGAACAGAAGGGCCGCAGCTGGCCGGCTGGGCGGGTAGAGCCGGCTTGGAGGGGAGTAGTGGGGCCAGGGTGGCAAAAGTTCAGCAGCCGCTTCCTCTGCACCCTGACTTCCTGTGCAATCTCTGCTGCAATAGGAGGCCAAGGCCAAGCAGGAAAAGGTCTCTGCTCAGTACCTGAGTGAGATCGAAATGGCCAAGGCACAGAGGGACTACGAATTGAAGAAGGCTGCCTACGACATCGAGGTCAACACGCGCCGTGCACAAGCTGATCTAGCCTATCAGCTCCAGGTAAGAGGTGCCAGGCTGCAGCGGCCCTGCTGCCAGCTGCCCCTGCCCCACCCCCACCTCTCAGGCCACCTCCTCCTCCCATTCTGAGCTGCTTCTGTTCTCCGCTTCTATCCTATGTCCCTTTTGTAAGGGGAGCTGTAAAAAAGCAAAAATGTAGCCAGGCATGATGGAGCTGCTCATAATCCCAGCAGCCCATCACAAGTTCAAGGCCAGCCTGACCTGTACAGCGGAGTCCTGTCTTAAAACACAAAACCGAAACAAACAAAACCCAGCCTCAGTGCCTCAAGCTATCTAGAGCCCACCAACACAAGAAGTGGTGATCTGCCTCTGGAGAAATCGTGCTTGTTTGGGCGTGAATGAAAAGCTGTCAGCTGCAAGGTCTGTTAATAGTGAACTGAGCATGTTATATAAGGTTTCTTTAAATAGAAACACATGAAACAGGGTCACATATTGACTGGTTGATAAACGTTACACCCAAAAGTTCACAGGCACCTGACCCTGTATTTTCCTCTGGAACAAAATAATTATTAGTGAGTCAGGTGTGGTGGTGTATACCTGTAATCCCATAGCTCTGGGAGGCTGAGGCAGGTGGGGTGGAAGCCCAGCCTGGGTAACTTAGAGATTGGGCAAGATGTCTCAGAAATTGGAAAAAAAAAAAAGGGAATGCAGATCAGTGTGAAGACCCTGAGTTTAGTCCGCAGTACAGGGACAGTGGGGGAGCCCTCATATTCTAGTTCAAACCAAACTGAATCAGAGCACATAATTTAACAAAATCCTGAGGTTAGCTATATGCACAGTAGACTGTTAGAATGGAAATCTCTGGCTTTTGGGGTGACTTTTTTTTTAATGTATTTGGTACAGGGTCTCACTACACAGCTGGGACTCATAGTGATCTTCCTGTTTTCAGCTTCCCTGGTGCTGGGATTATAGGCATACCACCACACCCTGGCTCAGCACGCCTGAGCATGCGAGGGATTAAACCCCAGTCCCACTCTTGCCTAAGTAGACACTTAGTCCGCTGAGCTATCTCGAAGACCCTTGGGACCACTGTTGATGAGATTCTTGTGTGGTCAGCTTGCTGTCCCTATAACTCAATACTTGAGGCAATTGGAAATTTAAGTAGAAAAGGTTTACATATCATGGCTCACAGTCTCAGAGAGTGCAGTCCTTTGTCACTGGGGCTTCCTCAAACACTGGTTCCAGTGCATGGCAGAGCAGCCAAGCTCACTTCCAGGAGGTGAGGCTACCAAGAAAGGCCAGGCTGGAGATCCGCAGGCCGTACCCCATGACGCAGGCCTTTCACTGCACCCTGCCTTTTAATGGTTCCGTTACTGTGCAGCATTGCCTTCGGGACCAAGACATTAAATTGTGGTCCTTTGGGTTCGCTAGTCAAGTGCAGACCAGTTTCTGTTCTTCTTAGCATGGCTTTCCTTACCTATAAATCAAGGGAGGGCTCTGTTCAGCTTTTGTTTTGGGGTTTTTTTTTTGAAACGAGGTCTTGCTGTGCACCCGAAGTCCTCCTGCCTCAGGCTTCCAAAGTGCTGGGGTGGTGTGGGCACCACACATCTGGCGGCTGCCTGTCTTGCAGTGTATTTTCCACAAGGCAACTAGATATGTCCCTGTGAGAATACAGTCTAGACTACAGTCTCCCCACTTTCTGTTCTTTTATAGCTTTTCACTGTGCTGGGAATTCTGTGGGCTTGGGCCTGGGATCCTCCTTCCTACCTCAGCCTCTGGTATAGTGGTGTTACAGTCTTTTTTTGGGGGGGGGTGCGGAACCAGAGATTGAACTCAGGCCCTTGCGCTTACCAGGGAAGCGCTTATTCCACTGAGCCATCTCCCTGGCCTCCGGTGTCACAGTCTTGCACCACCATGCCTGACTTTACTGGCTGTTTCCTGTGTTGTAATGTAAGCTCCACAAAGGAAGGCTCTTGCTGGGTACCGTTCATACCTAACTCTCAGAACGAGCCCCGGCACACTGTAGGCACAGAATAGATATTTGACAATGAATCATTTGTGAGTGCAGGAACAGTACCTGGTACATAATGAGATGCTGCTAACAGACTGGGGAGGTAGCTCAGTGCTTTAAGTGCCTGCCTGGCCCCAGCAAGCGCAAGGGCCTGAGTTCAATCCCTGGTGCCAAAAAAAGGGAAAAAGAAAAAGACGCTGCTAAAAGCAGCACAGCCAGCCAGCCATGGTGGCACACCCCTGTACTCCTAGCACTCGGGGCTGAGACAGGAGGATCCCAGCCAGCCTGGGCTTCATAGAGTGGTCAGGGCCAGCCTGAATTACACTGTGAAGCCCTATCACACATAAAAAAAGGAAAGGCTTAAATAAGATTCAGAACTGAGTCAGGGGCTGGTGAGATAGCTCAGTGGTCTAAAGCACCTACTTAGAACAAGCTAAGCTAAGCAAAGCACAGGGACCGCGGTTCAATCCCCAGCACCACATGCCGGCCAGCCCCGCCCCCTGGTGGGCTGAGCTGGCTACACACACAAAATAAATAAATTTAAAAAAAAAGACTCGGGTTTGACTTTAAAAAAAAAAAAAAAGAATAGAGTCAGATGTGATGGTTCATTTGTATAATCCCAGAGAGGTAAGATTATACATTTGATCCTGGCCTGGGCAATTTAGGAAGATCTTGTCTTAAAAAAATTGCCACGCCTGGTGGTGTACACCTATAATTCCAGCACTCATGGGGCTGAGGCAGGAGGATCATTACAACTTCTAAACCAGGCTGGGCTACTAAGCTCAAAAAAATCAAGCCAATCAGTAGAATATGCGCTTCCCTGGGAAGCACAAGGGTCTGAGTTCAATCCCTGGTTCTGCAAAAAAAAAAAAAAAAAAAAATCAATGTGGCTATCATTCCAGCTGAGGCTGAGGTAAGAGGATTGCAAAGTCAAGGCTAGCCTGGGCTACATAGTGAGATCCTGTCCCAAATAAATAAACAAGGACTGGAAATATATCTCATTGCAAAGACACTGAGGTAAATGGGGGTGGGATGTTAATTATTACAAGAGGGGGGCGGCCAAATAGTTCAGCGGATTAAAGCCCCTGCAAGCAGGCGTAGGGGCTAGGGGTTCGATCCCCAGGCCTGCCATTTCAGCCCTGCCCCTGGGGGGGCGGGGGCACTGAGACAGCAATTGAGACTGGGCATGGCGGTGCACGCCTGTAAGCAGGCGGATCACTACAGTCTGATCTAGTAGTGAGACCCTGAACACCCTGTAGACCCCTAAAATGCAAAAAAAAAAAAAAAAACAAAAAACCCCAAACAAAGGTTGAGTGGAGTTCAGTGCCAGGGCCCTGGATTCAGTTCACACTGCCACAAAGCGAGTAAGTCTTATCCAGACTTAGGGGTGCCTCCATATGATCTGCTGTAGTCACCCTGATGGAAGCCAAAGCCTAGCAGCCACCCCATGTCCTCAGAGCAGACTCTGCCCACCATGAGCCCAAGCCACCTGCTAAGGGAGGGACCCCAGCGTGGGAGGCAGAGCCCACAGCCACGCCAGGCAGGGACTGGAAGGACACCGCTGTGCTACTGTATCGCTGTGAAAGGAAAACCCATAAAGGGCGGGGTCGCACACCTCCAGGCCCAGCTGCGTCAGAGGCTGGGAGGTGAGTGTGCAGCCTGCCTGGGCAGCCCCTTCAGGCCCCGTCTCACTAATGACTGGGACGTGGCGTAGTGATGTGGCCCTTGCCCAGCGTGCGCAAGGCCTGGGGTCAGTTTCTGACACCAAGAAAGGAAAGTCATGAGTTCACATTCAGAAAATCAAAACAAAACAACAAAAAAGAGAACATATAAAAACTAGCAAGATGGGGCCAGGGAGATGGCTCAGTGGAATAAGTGCTTGCCTGGCAAGTGCAAGGGCCTGAGTTCAATCCCTGGTTCCGCAACAAAAACAACAACAACAACAACAAAAAAAACCCTAGCAAGATGGCAGAAATAGAAAACAGAACCAACATTGGAAGAGAAATACTAAAATATTTCCGAGATGGGGCTGGTGAGATGGCTCAGTGGTCTAAAGCACCTACTTAGAACAAGCTTAGCAAAGCACAGGGACCGCGGTTCAATCCCCCAGCACCACATGCCAGCCAGCCCCGCCCCCTGGTGGGCTGAGCTGGCCACACACACACACACACACAAATAAATAAATAAAATTAAAAAAAATAAAATAAAATAAAATATTTCCGAGAATGTTTTAAAATGGAAAATTTGGGCCAGCCAAATAGCTCAACGGATTAAAGTGCCTGCTTAGGCAGATGCAGGGGCCCTGAGTTCAATCCCCCCACCTGCCATGCTGGCCCTGACCCCACCCTCACCCCCAGGGTGCACTGAGACAGCCATTGAGATTGGGTGTGGTGGCGTGCACCTGTAATCCCAGCACTTTGGGAGGCTGTAAACAGGATCACTGGGAGTCGGATCTACGCAATGAGACCCTGAACACCCTGTCCTAAATAAAATAAAATGGAAAATTTCATAAAGATAAAAATATTAGAGAGCTCAGAGGTAGAGAGTTGGTATGTGCAAGGCTCTGGGTTTGATCCCCAGCCCTGAGAGGGAAAAATTAACTTCCAGGAGGGAACAGATGTCATATTAAACATAAGATTGGGCCTCTTAAGAGCCAGCCATGGGGCCAAGGAGATGGCTCAGTAGGATGAGCGCTTGACTGGCAAATGCAAGGATCTGAGTTCAATCCCTGGTTCTTTTTTTTTTTTTTTTTTTAATTATTATTTTTTTTTAATTTATGTGTGTGTGTGTTTTTGTGTGTGTGGCCAGCTCAGCCCACCAGGGGGAGGGCTGGCTGGCATGTGGTGCTGGGGATTGAACCGTGGTCCCTGGGCTTTGCTAAGCTTGTTCTACGTAGGTGCTCTAGACCACTGAGCCATCTCACCAGCCCCAATCCCTGGTTCTGTTTAAAAAAAAAAAAAAAAAAAAGCCAGCCGAATAGCTCAGCAGATTGAAGAACCTGCTTAGGCGGACTTGGACCAGGGTTAGATCCCCAGTGTGTTGTGCTGGCCCCACCCTGGGGCGCTGAGGCAGCAATTGAGAGTAGGCATCATGACAGTCTGATCTGTGTAGTGAGACCTGTAGACCCTGTACTAAATACATTAAATAAAAAATAAATTTAAAAAATTGCCCCCCCCCCCCATGAACTCAGGCCTTTGCATTTGCCAGGGAAGCGCTTATTCCATCTTCCCCGGCTTGAGTTGTGGGGATCGAACCAGAGCAACCTGAGGCTGACTGCTTTGTTGAGCTGAGCTAAGGGGCAGGCCCCCCATTTGGAAGTTTGAGGACAGCACTGGGGACCATACCTGGGGCAGACAGATGGACCAGGTCCAGCAGGACAGGCCTGTGCCCTGCCTCTTAACTCCCTCCTCCTCCGACCCGGCCAGAGCCTCTAATGCCTGAACGACACCAGAGAGTAAGAATGAAAGTGACCCGAGATCCCGGCACCCCGAGGCCGAGACAGTAAGATCATGGGTTTGAGCTCAGCCTAGACAGTTCGGCGACTGAGACCCATGTCTCAAGATAAAAAAAGAAAAAGGGCTGAGGAACAGCGGTGGGGTTCAGTTGCCAATACTGCAAATAAATAAGTCTAAGCGAGAGGGGTCTCAGAGGTACCAGTCCTGCAGGTGCTTATGGCCCTGGAAGGAAGCTGGTCGCGGGGGCTGCTGCTCCCAGTGGTTGGGGAAAGTGGAGGAAGCCTTGCTTGTCACGGTTTGTTTTTCCTCTTGCATTTGTGCCGCTTGCATAAGATTAAACCCCGGACAGCAGTCTCCGCGCGGCCTCAGGGCGGGGGCGAGGTTGCCCTGGGGGGCCGGAGTTGCCCCTGACGCGCGTTCGCCCCCAGGTGGCCAAGACCAAGCAGCAGATCGAGGAGCAGCGCGTGCAGGTGCAAGTGGTGGAGCGCGCCCAGCAGGTGGCGCTGCAGGAGCAGGAGATCGCTCGCCGCGAGAAGGAGCTGGAAGCCCGGGTGCGCAAGCCCGCCGAGGCCGAGCGCTACCGGCTGGAGCGCCTCGCTGAGGCCGAGAGGTAAGGCCCGCCTGCCCGGCCGGGCCCTGCGCCCGGGGACCGGGCCCCTCACCTCGCCTGCGCCTCTCCCCTGCCCAGGTCCCAGCTGATCATGCAGGCGGAGGCCGAAGCAGAGGCGGTGCGGGTGAGTCGGACTGGCACCTTCCGCAGGCAGAGGAGGTGGTTTGGGGGCTACTGATTGTACGGTCTTTCCTTTCCTTTCCTTTCCTTTCCTTTCCTTTCCTTTCCTTTCCTTTCCTTTCCCTTCCCTCTCTCCTTCCTTCCTTCCTTCCTTCCTTCCTTCCTTCTCTTGCGCTGCTGAGCTGTATCCCTAGCCCTGCATGGGGTTCCTTCTGAGACAGGATTTCTACTGTGTAGCTCAGGCTGGCCTTGAACTCGGGCGATCCGCCACCTTCAGCCTCCCAAGAGCAGGGATCCCGGGGCGCCGCCACGCCGGGCGCGGGCTGGGACTTCTTCATTCATCCCATCCTTCACACGGTCCCATCCCCTCCTCAGATGCGCGGGGAAGCCGAGGCCTTCGCCATCGGGGCGCGCGCTCGCGCTGAGGCCGAGCAGATGGCCAAGAAGGCAGAGGCCTTCCAGCTGTACCAGGAGGCTGCGCAGCTGGACATGCTGCTGGAGAAGCTACCCCAGGTGCAGTGTGGGACAGGGAGGGTGGCGGGCAGGGGCCCAGAGTGGGGCGGTGAGGGACAGGTGGGAATTGCCAGCCAGGACCCGCGAGGAAGGGTCAGTGGGACCAGGGCCTGCGTGTGGGCCACAGGCCAGAGCGCCCGCTCAGCACGCCCGGCCTCTGCCAGGTGGCAGAAGAGATCAGCACCCCCCTGACTTCGGCCAAGAAGATCACCCTAGTGTCCAGCGGGAGCGGGACCATGGGGGCAGCCAAGGTGACTGGAGAGGTGCTGGACATCCTGAGCCGCCTGCCCGAGAGCGTGGAGAGACTCACCGGCGTCAGCATCGCCCAGGTAAGGCCCTGGGGGCAGGGGACTGGCCTGTCACTGACTACCAGCTGGGCATGATGGCCCGCGCTTGGAGTCCCTGCACTCAGGAAGCTGAGGCAGGAGGGATGCTGGGAGTTCGAGGCCAGCCTGAACTGCCTACTGCCTGGGGAAAGGGCTGAGGCAGATGCCAGACAGAAGCCTCTGGACTGGCAGAATCCCACTGCCCAGGCATCACCCCTTCTTGTCTTTCCCCAGGTGAACAGTAAGCCGTTGAGGACCTCCTGAGCCCCTGGCGGTGACCCTGCGGGGCTCAGTGCCTGAGGGGCCCCACAGCTGCACGTACCCCAGTGACCTCCCTTAGCATGTCGTCTGAAAGTGGGGTCCCTTGTCGCCCCTTGCCACACAGCTTGTGCCTTGCCTGGGTTGGGGCTGCCCCCACTACCAGATTGCCCCAGTGTAAGCTCCTGCCTGAACCTGAGGGGCCCTGCCCTCTGGGGTCTCCCTCAACGGGAGGCCTGCGTGGAGGTGCCTGCCAAATAAACCACTGTCAGCAAGTTCTGAGTCTTCAGCAGGGTAATAAAACTGAACCAGTCCAAAGAGAGCTTACACCCGGTTGGCTCTCTAGACTGAGAAAAACAAGTTTTCTCTGCAGTGTTCCGAGCTGTGAACACTAGAAGCTGTTCATTCCCCCCCTAAAAAATGTCTTTGGTTACCAAAGTGGGCTTGGGGGCGGGGATTATAGCTCAGTGGCATAAGCGCCTGCCTGGCAAGTGCGTTTCCGAGTTTGATTCCCCCATACCACAAAAAAGAAAAAAGAGTGGGCTAAAGTAGAAATAATGTTGAGAATTGCTGAAGTCACAGTCGGGTGACAGTATTAAATACAGCCTCCCTGGTGCCCTCGTATATAACCCATACAGGTCCCCTCCAGATCCTGTCCCAGCCAGGTGCAGTGGTGCAGACCTGAACTCTAGCCCTGGGAGGCTGAGACAGTTAGCAGGACCCTGTCTCTGTGTGACCAAGGGCTGGGACGTAGCTCAGTACAAAGGTCCTTGTCCCCCCAATACAAAAAAGCAACAAAAAACCCTCTATTTACGGTGCTCATAATGTATATGCTACGGAGTATTATTATACCTTACAGTATCATAATGTAAATACTATTGAAAAATGTTAGGCCATACTAGAGAATGGCCGAAAAAAAAAATCGAAACAAAAAAAATCTTGCTATATGGTCAGTAGATACTGCTTTTTAAAGGCATTTCCAGACACAGGTGGGAGTGGTACACACCGGTAATCCCAGCACTTCTGAGGCTGAGGCAGGATGGCTGCAGACTTTGAGGCCAAGTGAACTATAGACAACCTGCCTAAAAAAAAAAACAAAAAACGGGCCGGGGAGATGGCTCAGTAGAATAAGCGCTTCCCTTCCCTGCTAAGTGCAAGGGCCTGAGTTCACTCCCCGGTTCTGCCAAAAAAAAAAAAAAAAAAAACAAACCTATAGTAGTGCTGAGAATTGAATCTAGGTTTTCATACACTAAAGTGAGTGCCCAGGGGCTGGGGAGATGGCTCATAATGTGCTTCCCTGGCAAGCTCAGGGACCTGAATTCAATCCCTGGTTCTGCAAATAAAAAATAAAATAGTGCCTTACTATTCAGGTTTTTTTTTAATAACCTGGGATTGAATGCAGGCCCTTGCTTTTCCCTTGCCAGGCAAGCACTTATTCTGCTGAGCTATCTCCCCAGCCCCACCCATCAGCTTTTTTGTTTTTGCGGGACCAGGGATTGAACTCAGGCCCTTGCACTTGCCAGAGAAGTGCTTATTCCACTGAGTCATCTCCCCAGCCCCCCCATCGGCTCTTTTATGTGTAGTTTTCCCCATATTTTCTCACTACGACCAGATGTGGAGTGCTGATGAGGCTGTGGTAGCTCAGGCATTCTTTAGGTTCAAAGTAGGTGTCATTTGTGTGGCTCTTGCGCATTTCCAGCGGAGCCCATACAACCACAGAAACCCTAAGGGGCCCTGGATGGACTGGAAATGGCCTAAACATGGTCTTCAATCTCAAGTATTCACTATGAAGGATTTTTGGAGGGGAGGGGGCTGGCTCAGGCTACCTTAGAGCCAGCTGTGGGGATCAAATCACGGTCCCCTGTGCCTAATTGGGTTTGCCTAAGCAGGCACTTAAACAACTGAGCTAACCCCAACCCCCATCAACGTGAATCTCTTGGAGCATCATAGAAAACTGCTAGGCATGATGGCAAACTCCTGTGATCTCAGCACTCAGGAGGCTGAGGCAGGAGGATCACTGCAAGTTCAAGGCCAGCCTGAATGTAACAAGACCCTGTCTGGAAGGGGGGGGGGACCCAAAACCTGGGGGCCGGGAAGATGGCTCAGTGGAATAAGCACTTCCCTGGCAAGCGCAAGGGCCCGAGTTCAACCCCTGGTTCCATCAAAGAAAAATCCTGCCAGGGCCCTGGACCTGGAGTGGCGCTCCCAGGAGAGGCAGACGGTCCACTGGCCATCAAGGCCAAGCTCCCCAGCAGGTCCTCGCCCGGCCTGAGACAGCTGGTGCTGACGGGCAGGGCGGGCTGAACTCGATGGGGCTTTACTTTTAGGGGCGCAGAGCCTTGAACGACTTTGGCCCCACACCCGCACAGGCAATCTTTCCTCAATGAGCACACGAACCGCAACTGAATTTTCGAATTCCCATTTATTTTTGGCTCTTGGGGCAATGTCTCTTTTCAATATGAAAAAAAGCAGTAAGTTCAACACAAAATAGAAATCCAAGTGTAGGACAGGACAAAGTCAAGGGTGAGGCGATAGCAAGAGATGACGTACTGCAAAGAGGGCATCTCCTGTCCTGGGCAGTGAGCAGAACACAGAGGCGGGCGGGCATGCACCTGGGACAGTGGCAGCCACCCTGTGGAGGGAGGCTCGCTCTGGGCCGTGTGAAGCTAATACTGTTTACTGTCCCACGAAGCCGAGTGTAGAAACGCCTGGAGATGAGCGGGAAAGCCTGGACCCCCCTTTCCCAACAGCCCCCACCTGGGAAGCCCCACCCTCTCCCCCAAACTGCCCATCACCCTCTGCCTCTCTTCCCCTCGACTCCCCATGGTGGCCCTTCCGTGGGTTTGCAACACCTGGCTGGTTCTAAAGGGGATCTAGAAGAGGCCCAACTTCTGAAAACAGAAACATGAACTAGACAGATGTGAAAGACAGCAGAAATTGCAGGGTCACCTAGAATGACAGATCTAGGTTTGCCAGAGTAGAGAAAGAAGAGACAT